CAAAATTCTCCGCGGGGATCCCCGTACCCGCCATTAACAGGGATGGGGATGGGGAGGGGGTTCCCGCCCCCGTGGGGACCCGTTGCCATCCTTACATATAAGTGTGATGAGATTAGGGATGTGAACGGGGCTCCGCGGGGCCGGGAGGCTCTCCCCATCCCCGTGGGGATTTTTGACGGGGGGCAAAATTTGCCCCCCATCCCCATTTCTCGTGGAGAACAGGGATCCCCATTCCCCACCAATTAATACCAAATATATATTTTTTGCATCAAACATAAATAAAAATTAATTTAACATAAATAATTAAATCAACAAAAAAGGAAAATTGAAGGTGAGACTGTGAGAGTGAGTGAAGAGAAATTGTAGAACCAAGAAGGGGAGGGGAAGGTCGAAGGTGAGGTAAGAGTTTGATTGTTCGACCGAGACCGAGAGTGAGTGAGGGGCTGAAGTGAGGGTTGTTGTGGCTGCACTATTGCGTGAGTGAGGAGAAAGGAAAATAATAAGGTTAGGAAATTAGGGTTGGAAGGAGGATGATGAGTTGGGTTGGGTATTAGGGTTGAGTTGGATAAATTTTAATTTTTATTGAATTGGATTTGGGTTGGGTTTGGCTTTTATTTTAAAGGTTAAATTAAATTTAAAATATACATTTTTTTAATTTTTTGCGAGGATGGGGTCCCTACGGGACCCTGCGAGATGGGGAAAATTCTTCACAAAATTTCACAGGGAAAAGATCCCCCTATCCTCGCCCTGCGGGGAAAAATATTCCCCCCGTGCTGTTCCCGTAACGGGAATCTCCACGAGAATCGAGAAAAATTACCACTCCTAGATGAGATAAAAAATAAAAAATAATTACTTTTTATTATACAACTAAAAATAAAAAAAAATACTAATTAACAATAGGCTTATAAAAGACAGCCATGAAATCTAGTTTGTTTATTTTTTGACCATGACATAAATTTTGAGGTTTGATGTAGTTTGACGAAAGAAAGGAAAAAATAGCATAACCGTCCTTCAATATCACACAACTTGCCCGCATTCATATTTCTCCTGTGTAGAATTTCCTCTCCCATCGTCTCCATCGGTGACCCCTTCTTCTCCCTTTCTTCTCCGGGGGTCGCCTCGCCTTAAAAAAAATTTGCGAAAAACACAAAAAAAAAAAGAAGAAGAAAAAACCCCTCAATTTTCTCAATCCAAATCAATCCCAGAAATCCACACAATTAATTGTCAGTGATCCTGAACCATGTCGGAATTTGCTAACACCGATTCCGAGGGGATCGACGGAGTTCGTATGACTTGGAATGCGTGGCCGCGTACCAAAGTTGAAGCTAGCAAATGCGTCGTCCCCCTCGCTGTCTCCATCTCGCCGATCCGTTCCCACCCTGAAATCCCCACGCTCCCTTACGCGCCTCTCCGATGTAAGACCTGCTCTGCGGCGCTCAATGCCTTCGCGCGCGTCGACTATACTGCCAAGATCTGGATCTGTCCCTTCTGTTATCAGCGCAACCATTTTCCCCCTCACTATGCCATGATCTCCGAGACCAATTTCCCCTACGAGCTATACCCTCAGTACACCACCGTAGAGTATGAGCTGCAGCCCAATCACGATCCCCGCAACCCCGCCAACCCCCCGCAATCGCCGCCGGTATTTGTTTTCGTGCTTGATACCTGCATGATCGAGGAGGAGATGGGATTCGTCAAATCGGCTTTGAAGCAGGCCATCGGGCTGCTGCCGGAGCATGCCCTTGTGGGGTTCGTGTCCTTTGGGACACAGACACAGGTGTACGAACTGGGTTTCTCCGATATGTCCAAAGTTTATGTCTTTCGTGGCAGTAAAGAGATTTCCAAGGAACAAGTGCTGGAGCAATTGGGTCTAGGTGCTTCGGGAAGGAGGCCGGTGGCAGGGTATCCAAAACACCTGCAAAATGGAATTCAAAATGCCAGTATCAACCGGTTCTTGTTGCCTGCCTCCGAGTGCGAGTACACTCTCATTTCGGTGCGTTTTATCTGGCTATTTGATTTCAGTTATCATGTTTTGCTTTTCCTTTTTTCTTTTTTCTTTTTTTAAAGAAAAAATTAATTTGATTGCTTTTCATTGCAAAATGTAGCTATTGGATGAGTTACAAAGAGATCAATGGCCAGTTCCACCAGGGCACAGGGCGTCCAGGTGCACAGGGGTGGCGTTGAGTGTTGCAGCCGGATTGCTTGGGGCCTGTTTGCCTGGAACGGGCGCTAGAATTGTTGCGTTGGTTGGTGGTCCATGCACTGAAGGGCCTGGCACGGTAATGCAATTTCATTACTAGTCTGGTTTCCAAATAATATCTTGAGGACTTAATTTTTTCTTTCAATTTTTGTAATTACTGTCTTTTCTTTTAGAATCCTGTTTTCATGCTAGTAACGCTTAAATCACTATGTAACTAGAGCAAGACATTGTTACAATCTTCATTGTGAACTTGGGTGATATAATTAGGATTTTGATCAGATGGATGATGTATATGGGATATAGTTCATTGATTTAACATTCTTATTGCTGGGTTTACTGCTGGTTTATTGATGTTTTCATAATTTCATTTATGGTAATTATGAAGTTGTTGTATTTGAGTTTTGCAGATTGTGTCAAAAGATTTGTCAGAACCTGTGCGTTCTCATAAAGATCTTGACAAGGATGCTGCACCATATTTTAAGAAAGCAGTTAAATTTTATGAGAATCTGGCCAAGCAGCTTGTCGACCAGGGGCATGTTCTAGACCTTTTTGCATCTGCACTTGATCAGGTCAGTATTGGCCATCCTTCAGATCCTGTTGTGGCTTGTGCAGTTTTTCTTATTTACAAATCCATATATATTCATGAGTGCGAAAGCTGGTTTGGTTTGTGATACTAGGTTATATGTTCTTAGATAGGGTAATGTACACTAAGTTTGGGTGTAATTGCATTCATCTTTGATGATAGTAGTTGAAAGTAATTTTTTAATATGCATGGATTTATTGGACGGTTTTTTGTTATAATTCTGTATCTGGCATGGATTCATTATTTTAGCTGTAGCAGAGATAAGATGCAATGTATAAAGTAGTTTGAGGGCTTTAATAGCGACTTCCTCAGTTGGCTTTTAGTATCTATTGGGACATGGCAAATCAAATATAGATTCATCCCACAAGTATAATTAATTTTTCTCTCTTTTTCTTTTTCTTTTTAACCATCACAATTGTATTCATGCCTTTTGTACAATTTCAGGTTGGGGTAGCAGAAATGAAAGTTGCAGTTGAAAAAACTGGTGGCCTGGTTGTTCTATCTGAGAGTTTTGGCCATTCTGTATTCAAGGACTCTTTCAAGCGCATGTTTGAAGATGGGGAACAATCTCTTGGCCTCTGTTTTAAGTAAGTTTTGACCAACTTTTAGTCTTCTTATTTTTTAAACGTTTAAAATAAAATTTCATCTTTAATTAGACCTTACCTGATGGCCAAAAATTTAAACCTTACTTGTTAATTACACCCCACTTTCGTTCCTTCCTACTCCCTCAGCATACCTTATACCTTTAGTTATTTCATAACATTCTGCAATTGTTTTGCACTAGCCATTACTAATATTTGGTTATGATGTAAAATATTACATCCTTGCAGTGCTTACATTCACATACTTTGTTTATAAGAGAAATGAGTAAAACTAATAAAGTTTCTCTAAAAAGTGATGGCAAGGAAGGATGCAATGCTAAAAAACAAAACCAAACTACATAGTGATAGATTTTTTTTCTTCTTGAGAGTAGAATGAAGTTGTCACTAATTTTAAATAAACTTTAGTACAAAATAGATGCTTGTGGCATTTCAACATGGCTGCTCTTTTCTTCTCTCTTTTTTTTTTTTTTTCTTTTCATTTTTTTTTTCTAAATTATGTTTAAAATTATACACTTTTTGAAAGTTTGATTGTCAAAAGTAGTATACTTATCAGTTTCCAATTATTTTTTTCCACCCCTTCTGTTATTCTTTCCAGTGGAACACTTGAGATCAATTGTTCAAAGGACGTAAAAATCCAGGGGATCATTGGACCTTGCACTTCTATGGAAAAGGTTGGACAGTTTAATAATTGAAAGCCTTATTCCATTTAGCTTATACTTTTGATGCTTGATAAGTGCATGATAGTGCTTGTGTTTCTTTTATTTCTTTTACTTTCCCATTTTAATGTTGGCCATAAACTGATTTGAACTTTTAATATTAATGCTAATTATCACAACATTTGCAGAAAGGGCCTAATGTTGCTGACACTGTTATTGGAGAGGGTAACACCACAGCTTGGAAACTGTGTGGCCTTGACAAGAGTACTTGTTTGACAGTTTACTTTGATCTTTCATCAAGTGAGAAGCCTAATGCACAGGGCGTGAATCAGCAGTTGTATTTGCAGTTTCTTACAAGGTTTGTTGCACAGAGTTAACTTCTTGTCCCAAGTTAAATATTTTGCTTCTTTTTGTTGACTTTGTTTTTCAAGTAATTGGATTATAATGTCATCTATTTAATTGCAGTTATCAAAACCCTGAAGGTAAAACATTGCTTCGAGTCACAACAGTAACTAGACAATGGGTAGACAGTGCCGTTAGCTCAGAGGTTTGTTTCTTTTATTTGAATTTCTATGAAATATCTTCTCCTTGGTGTTATCTGCTGTTCAGGCCTTTCGTGTGTGTGTTTGTCTTTAATTTTTTCAATATAGGCATGTGTGTGATCAGTTCTCCCTTTCTTTTTTATCTCTGTTTTCTGCAGAATTATCTCTTTGTATCAGTAATTTGTTAAGGTTTTTGCATGGGAAATTTTTAGAAACTTAACAAATATAAGTGGTAAATGCTGATAATGTACTGTAACCTTCACAGGAATTGGTACAAAACTTCGATCAGGAAACTGCCGCTGTTGTAGTGGCAAGATTAACTTCCCTGAAAATGGAGATAGAGGTACTTCACAAAGTTTTCCATCCAACATTTGCTGAATTACTTCATTTTGGATGCATTTATGATCAAATTTTATTCTTTTATTCGATATGTACTAGCTTGCTTGCCTCTATCCTCTTCCATTACTTTTGTCTGCTAGTTCCTGTTATAGTTCCTATTTAAATTCCTATCTATTTTCTGCATTAGAGCTTCAATCTGTTGGTTTCCATACAGCATTGATTCTAACTATTGCTCCCCAGTTACATTCTGCTATTCTTCCCTTGTCATGTTTCCTCTATTATATGCAGACAATTTGTTCTATCATTTTTGGTTCCTTGGTTCCTGGTGAATGCATCACTGATTTGACAGTTTCTTACTTACGGTTAAATGCATGATTGTGGGTTTTCTTTCGATCAGGAGGGATTTGATGCAACACGGTGGTTGGATCGAAATCTCATTCGTCTTTGCTCCAAATTTGGTGAATATCGGAAGGATGATCCTACTTCGTTTACTTTAAACCCTTGTTTTTCATTGTTTCCTCAGTTTATGTTTAATTTGCGGCGATCACAATTTGTACAGGTACTAAATATTTGTTACCTTCCTAATTTTTTGAATAGTTCCTATACTATCTTTTTTCCTTTTCAGCATGTACTTAACTTCTGGGGTAAATATGATCTCTTCTTCTGTTTTCACTTTCTGGTGTTAGGTTTTCAACAACAGCCCAGATGAAACGGCCTATTTTCGAATGTTGTTAAACCGGGAGAATATTACCAATGCAGCTGTCATGATTCAACCATCTCTAATATCATATTCATTCAATTCACTGCCCCAGCCTGCATTGTTGGATGTGGCTTCCATTGCAGCTGATCGGATACTCTTACTGGATTCATATTTCAGTGTTGTTATCTTTCATGGAATGACTATAGCGCAGTGGCGAAACCTGGGTTACCAGAATCAGCCTGAACACCAAGTATGTGCTCATTTTGTCTGTGTGATGTAGCATTTGCATTTGTAATTTTTCTAAAATAAAGCACAAATGCCATTGTCACACCAGTAATTCATCATTATTCTTATTTTGATTTCAAATCCTTTGTTTCTTTAGCCAATAAACTTGATCAGTTGCATACTGGGTTGTGTTGAAGGGATTTTGGTCATCTTTTACATATGGAGTGAATCAATGTTCATAAAGAGTGTGTTTTTGTTTCTAAACCCCCTTATTTTGTGTTATAGGCATTTGCACAACTACTGCAAGCACCTCAAGTTGATGCCCAGATGATCATTCGGGATCGTTTCCCTGTCCCTAGACTGGTTGTGTGTGATCAGCATGGATCACAGGTATGTATATTAACTGTATTTCGAAAAGCCAATTCTTTCTTTATATGCATCATACACTGGAATGTGATTTACATTTGATTTACTTTAGGATATCCTCTGGGAGAACTTAATTTGTTTAATTGTAAATTGGTCTGCAGGCAAGATTTTTATTGGCAAAGCTAAATCCATCAGCAACATACAACAATGCCAATGATATAGCTGCTGGGTCAGATGTAATCTTCACCGATGATGTGAGCCTGCAAGTATTCTTTGAGCATCTTCAGAGGTTGGCCGTGCAATCTTGATAGCAGATAGACAGTTGAAAGACTTGGTCTTTTGATACGTGAAATTCATTCCTCAAAGTTCAAGTTAATTTACCCTCCCTTACATCCTCTGATTCCATTCAAATTTAGTTCTTTTCCTTTCTTTCTATGACTTTAACAACGAGAGATCGACCCCACATTTTTGGAAAAATAAGGAGAGCAAGCATCATTCTTTGGGGTTGAGGGGAAGTTCTTGCTTCCTTGAAGGAATAAGGGACACAAAGGTGGGTTGAGTTGTAAGGAAAGGAAGGTTTCTACGTTTGAAGATCCTTGTTAGGTTGCCTTGGGGGGGGAATCTGGAAAATGCTTTTGCACAGTTTTGCCATCATCTCATTTTGTATCGATAGGCGTCACTGGATTGTGGTTTTGTGTATCTGATTTTTAAGCAAAATATATACCGGTTGGGGAGAAAGGGCTCCAGTCTAGGTTGAGGATGTTGGATGTAAGTCATTGGGATTTGTTTTGTTTTTTTAACTTTTGTTTTGTTAGACCCTCGTGTCTGTGTTGTTGTGTC